TGCCATGATCACTTCTAACACTGGTGATAGAGTAACCTTTTTCGTTTTGGATTACTTTTGAAAATGTGATGAAATTTTCTAATGCTTCATCTTTAGTACTTAAGAATAGAACCCAAGTATATCTAGAATAATCATCTACCAAGACAAATGAATATTGTTTTCCACCCAAGCTAGTAGTCCTAGTTGGCCCAAAAAGATCTATATGGATCTTGTAATACTCTACTAGTTGACACATCATTAATGGATTTAAAAGAAATTCGCTTTTTTTTCCTTTTGCACAAACATCACAGATTTTATCATTATCAAATTTAAGCTTAGGCAACCCTCTTACTAAGTCTCCTTGAATTAGCCGTTGCAAAACACTCATACTAGCATGTCCTAGTCTCATATGCCATAACCAACTATCATGTTCATCCTTAGCAACTAGGCACAAATTAGTCATATCAATAGAGTCTAAATGCACCATGTATATGTTTCTTATTCTATGACCAACAAGCATAATCTGATTAGATGCAATGTCAATGACTTTACAACCATTAATTTCAAACATGAAATTGAATCCCTTATCGCATAATTGACTAATACTCAATAGATTATGCTTTAATCCATTCACATATAATACATTTTTAATTTGTATGGAAGAGATATTACCTATAGTACCAATACCTTCAATGTGACCTTTTGAATTATCACCAAAAGTCACTTCTCCTCCATTTTTGACGTTAAGCTCTATGAACCGGCTTTTGTCTCCGGTCATGTGTCTCGAGCATCCACTATCAAGGTACCATGAATTTGGATTTGTTTCCGTGCCTTGTAGCAATGCTCCTTTTCCTACAAATATAGATTAATTTCTAATTTTTGGTACCCAAATTCTTTTGGGTCCATATTCATTAGTTTCTAAAATCCTTGTCCCCTTAGGTATCCATTTATGAAAGACATTTTTATCTTTAGTAGTAATGAGTTCTTTAGGAACCCATATACTTCTAATGATTTTATCATTTGAAGTTCTTTGAGGACTTCTATGATTGCAGTTTCTAAAACTTTTCTTAACAAAGTTGGATTTTGAATTCTTACCTTTTTCAAAACTTTTTGTACCAACCTTATTAAAAGAAGTTTTAAGATCATCAATCTTCTTTTGATGATCATCATGAACTTTTGAAAGTAAGTTATGCAAATCAGTATTTTTCTTTTCAAAATCAATAATTTTGATTTGCAATTCTTTTATCTTACTTTCAAGCTCATTGTTGGTCTTGAATAAAAGACTATTTTCGTTTTTCAATTTTGAAATATCATTTTTGTATTTTGAAAATATAGTCTTATAATCCGAAGTCAAATCATTATAATCCTCTAATAACTCATCATAAGATAATTTATCTAAGTCGAATGAGTTAGAGGTTACCTTAGAATCTTCCCCGATAGACATTAAGCACAAGTTTGCAACTTCTTGTTCATCTTCATCGGAACCTTCTTCATCGCTCCATGTAGCTACATGAGCCTTGTGCTTCTTTTTGGATTGACCATTTTTCTTCAATTGTGGGCAATCATATTTGACATGCCCCGGCTTTTTGCATTCATAGCAAATGATCGGGTCTTTCTCCTTCGATTCAGTTTTGAATCCTTCATTGCGTTTGAATTTTCTACCTCGGTTGGGCATCATCAACTTTCTGAATCGTTTGGCAAATAATGCCATTTCCTCGTCATCATCATCGACATTCGAATCACTCTCATCTTTTGTGGATTTGAGAGCAACTCCAATGTTTTTCTTCTTCTCCTTCTCCTTTGGTGTCTCGTCAATCTTATCGAGGTCCACTTCATCTTCAAGCATCATTTCATGAGTGAGAAGGTAACCGATTAGCTCTTTAAGAGTTAAGGACGTTAGGTCCTTAGACTCGATGATTGCCGTCTTCTTTGATTGCCACGATTTTGGAAGATAGTAAACTAACTACCTCACAAGCTTTTCATTTGAAATGATCTCTCCATATGATTTGAGACTATTGACAATCGTTGAAAATCTATCCGTCATAGCTTTGATATCTTCATTTGGTTTCATCCTGAAATTTTCATAGCTATGCGTTAGAATACTAATTTTGGATTTCTTTACTTCATCGGTACCTTCATGAGTGACTTGAAGTTTGTCCCATATTTCTTTGGCGGTTGTACAAGATGAAACTCTTCCGTATTCATCTGGTCCAAGAGCATAAAATATGATATGGATGGCTTTGGAGTTGAGCTGGAATATTCTTGTCTCTCCTTCACTCCACAATCTCGGATGAGTGAGAGGCTTTATATATCATTCTTCTACGGCATTCCATGTTCCCATGTCACTTGTTTGAATGAAGTACATCATCCTATTTTTCCAATAGACATAGTTTTCTCTATTGAAGAAAGGAGGCTTGTTGACGGGCATCGAATCGAGACCGGAGTCGAAATTTGAAACGGAGGCCATTGATGACTTGATAATCGATGTAACTCTTCCCGAATCGACTCAAGAGGCGATTAAACCTTCAAATGAGTGAGGCTTTGATACCAATTGTTGAGTTAATCGATCGAGGGAATCAGCCAAGAGGGGGTGAATTGGCGAAAAAAAGTTTGGTGGAAGCTTTTGCAGAAAATTGAAAGTAATTGCACATCGATTTACAGTGGTTCGACTTTATCAACCAAAGTCTACGTCCACTACCTTAGCTATCCACACTATGGATTTTCCAACAAATTCACTAATTTGTTCTTTCTTTTGAGGCCAAAGAGATAACCTTACAACTCCCTCAAGAATATACCCTAATTCTTGAGAACACTCTTTTCTCAAAGAGAAGATTACAAATTTGCAAACTTACAAGAAAAAACCTCACAAGGCAAATATGTTTGCACAATTCTAGAACAAAGAAAAAACACTCAAGAATAAATACAATTGAGCATAATAAGTGTTCTTGAAAGCAAAATGAACATTGAATGAAAAATAGGCTTGAAATGCTCAAACTTGAGGTTTGATGCTTTCTCTTTGATTCTCTCTTGATTCTAATTGCTTAATGTTTCTTATTTTTTATCAATGACTTCTAAGCTTGTTTAAATACACCTTCAAATGGTTCTGAACGTTGGGGATGCTTAGTGGAGTCAATATAGCCGTTTAAGTGTGAAAACAATTAATAAAATCAGTTGGGAGCGTCAGTGCATCGATGCATACCCTTGGTGCATCGGTGCATCAGTGTAAAATTCAAATATTTTGACCGTTTGACTCTCAGTGCATCGGTGCACTAAGAGTGCATCGATGCATGAAATGCATTCGATGTTTTGAAATAGCCTGAGTGCATCGATGCATCAAATGCACTAAGTGCATCGATGCATGTTATGTGCATCGATGCATAAAATGCATTCGATGTTCAATTAATTCCATGGTGCATCGATGCATGGATTGGTGCATTGGTGCATCACTTTGAAAATTTTATTTTAGGCTTGATTTTGGTTCAAAATACTTTGTGAAATTTTGTTTAAAAATAGTTTAAATATAAAACACAAATTTACACATTTAGTAAGGTTTAAAATTGATCTTGAAAGACTTGGAGTAATAGCTTGATATTCGAATAATTAAATCGAATATACTTTTAGAAAAATCATTTGTAAAATCTTAAAATTCATTTAACTTAATTTGTTATATCGAAACATCAAAATATTTTCAACAATAGCAAATCTGATTAGGGTTACCATTCAAATTTTGTATATTACAACATCATGAACACATCAAGAAAGACTGAAGGATTAGTTCAATTGAGGAGCAAATTGTGGCTGTGACCGCTGAGGACGGTTCACCCTTCCTGGTTGGATGGAGAGTAACGGTTAGTAGTTTTATGAGATAAAAGATAAGTGATAAGTTCAAAAAGAAGATAAATAGTAGAGAAGGTTCAAATCCTGAAACAGAATAGAGAGAACCCTTTAAGAGTTTATATACGAGCCTTGAGTGCTAGTGTCAGATTTAGGATGATAATAATATAGGTCATCAAGATTAGACCGGGCCTAAGGTGATAGTAGTTTAGGGAGGACATGAACTTTTGGAGGTTTCTCAAGTAACCTGAAAGTTCCCATAGGCGAAAGATGAGATCGCGAATGTAATATTTATAAGATTTACGGAAGAGATCCGAAAGAAGTACAACAAGTTCACAACTTAGACCAGCAAGGAATGTAATTCAAGAATTAATTCAGAATAAAACATACCTGTGGAAAGCTTTCTGAATCTCTCGTTGACTTGCGTTTTTCTCCAGGCCTAGTACCTGAGCATCATGTAAATTCATTAGAAACCTCAGTGAAACACTAATAAATTCTTGCTAAATCTCTCTTCAACAACGCCTACTATACAACTCAGATATCATAACATGTGAAAAATTACAGTGAACTATTGTACTAGAAGAGGGGGAGGGGGTAAGTTACTTGCCTTGTCAGGATCAGTAGCTTCGGCTTCTGCCTGTAAAACCAATAACGATAACAAAACAGCAAACGTAAACCACGGCCGAACCTTCATTTTTGCAAGACTTCTAGCGATGCTCTTTGAAAAGGAATGTTTGTTGAATGGAGAAACAGCAAAGGAATGTAAAAATTCTGAGGACCAATATTATTGTTATATGTCATCATTTTCATTAATTTTTAATCATTGATAATCAAAATAAAAAAATAAATGTTAGTCATTAAATTTATAAAAAGAATATTTGGTGACCAAAGTAGAAAAGCTATAATAAACTGATGACTAATAATATAATTTATCCTAAAAATGCAAATGAATGAAGACATAATTTAGAACGATGAGTGACTAGAATAAAAATTAAATAAATAATCGTATTTGCAGAAAAATAATTTAATGACCAAAGTGAAGTCTGATGATAACTTGATGACTAATAGTATGATTTACCCTAAAAAAGCACAAATGAATGGAGATATAATTAAGAGGGTAATTTACTAATAAATCCTATATTAATTTAGCTGCCCGAACAAAGGCCGTAAAAACGACCAACGCCGTCTCAATCACTCACTTCTTGTCTCGTTCCCCACATAATTCCAGCCATTTCCGTCGTCGAATAGAAAAGCTCAAAAACGACACCGTTAAGAACCCCAACTTCCGTCAATCCATGTGATGTCCAAGCTTAACTCGCGGCACCAGAATCTTTTATCTTAAATCTCACTATTCACCGATCCAACTCGCTAACTCGCTAACTCGCCCCAGCTTGTTTCTCTTAGTTAGACTAGAGGGGGATTGCTAAGAGATACCGATGGCGCTCTCGGCTGCTGATTTGCCTGCCTTATACACGTTGCTGGTCAACTCAATGAGCCAAGACGAGACCATTCGCAAACCGGCCGAGGCGGCTCTCTCTCAATCCGAGAGCAGGCCCGGTTTCTGCTCTTGCCTCATGGTATTTATTTACCTTTTATTATATTTTTTTAATCCTTGTTTTGCATTTTCTGTAAAATGCATTTGCAATCTATACGCATTTAATTTGCAATTTTTGTGTTATTTCAGGAAGTGATTACAGCGAAAGATTTAGTATCTCAAGTGGATATTCGATTAATGGCCTCTGTATATTTCAAAAACAGCATTAATCGGTATTGGAGAAAGAGACGCGATTCCTCGTAAGTTGTGCGATATTCTTTCATGCATTTGATTCATAAATGACCTCAAACTTCAAATTTTAGGATCTAAGTTTCAATTAAACTCTTCTCGGAAACTGCATTCAGACTTCTTTTATTAGCAAATCCTTATCTACCAGCTGATAAAGACTATTCAACTATTTTTATTTACTTGTTTCGTAAAATAAGTATCTGTGTTTCCTTAATGACCTAGAGTTGTGTACTCAGGGGGATAAGCAACGAAGAGAAACTGCATTTAAAGCAAAAATTGCTTTCACACTTAAGAGAAGAGAATTATCAGGTATTCCTCCCATGTTTTCATCTATTTAATGGTAAAGAATGTTAAGTTATTGCATAATGGATTTTAACTAGACCGAGGAGGCATGGACTTAGTTAGTTAATTGTGTTCCGATTTCATCGGATTTAAGTTACCTACTCTTTGCTTCTAGTATATATGTTCCTGGTGGCATGGTGGGTTGTAATTTCCGTTGAGTTTAGTGTCTTTAATATCTGTCTTTTGCATTTTTTTTCTTTCTAATACAGATAGCTCAAATGCTGGCAGTCCTCATTTCCAAAATTGCTCGTTTCGATTATCCCAGGGAATGGTATATATCTTGATTTCTTGGACTAGTTAATATTTATTTACATGCTTCCCAGCTTAATTGAGCTAGAATATGTGTCTCTTTCTCCCTGCATTATGGGATTTGTTGAAGGATTCCTTTTGTAGTTAATAATATTTATTGATTTGTTTGTATAATGATTTTAGGCCAGAGCTGTTTTCTTTTCTAGCACAACAGCTTCAATCAGCGGATGGTCTTACCTCACACAGGATTTTTATGATTCTCTTTAGAACTCTGAAGGAATTATCCACAAAACGTCTTACTGCAGACCAAAGGAATTTTTCGGAGGTATGTTGTTACTGAAACATCTTCCTTTCATAAGTTCCCCCTAATTGAGGTCATGTTTGTCCACCCATTTTTCTAGCACCGTCTTTTCTAAATGAAGGTGAGTGCTACCCTTACAGGTTGGCTCCTGTCTTCTTTAACTCTCTAGTTAAGGAGATTTTCTCTCTTTTTTCTGATAAGGTGTCTTTAGTTAGGTGGATTCCAAGGGCTTCTAATTGTGAGGCAGATAGTTTAGCAAAGGAAGGGATTGGGTGAATGTAAGGTTTTGGTTTTTGGTTGTTTTATTCGTTTTTGTAGTTTCTGTTTTCTGGTGTAATTTTTAAGTCTTATGTAATGCTGTTATATTAATAAATTAAGGCATTCTTTTCCTCCTCCCGCTGTTTGGTTCTTCTTTAGGGAAAGGAACCACTATGAGGGAGGTTTTTAATGAGGCCTCCTATTTCTATAAAAAAATATATATATATACATTTAGCAGGTAATCAGTGGCCTCTTCATTCTGGTTTATTAGTACTTCAATTTTGTGCCACATATTCTCTTAGAAATTATAATCTACTCATTTTAGGATCAAATTACTATTTTTGCAAAAATTGCAGATTTGCAGTTCTGTTCTATAGATAGAGAGAATCTGACTTAAAACTTTCTTGGCAGATTTCCTCCCATTTATTTGAGTATTGCTGGCATCTTTGGCAAAGTGATATACAAACAATATTACAGGGTTTTTCTACAATCACTCAGAACTGTAATTCGAGTGCCGTGGAGCAGCATCATGATGAACTTTATCTAACATGTGAAAGATGGCTGTTTTGTCTCAAGATAATATGTCAATTAGTCATTTCAGGGTTTCAAAGTGATGCAAAATGTATTCAGGTACCTTTATTTCTTTCACTTTCCATTTGGAAAATTTTGAAGATTTTAGAGTCAATTGCCATTTCATTATTTATTTCTCTCAGGTTGTTTGGATTGGGAGTATATGATTTAAATGCTTCATTTTGCAGGAGATAAGACCAGTCAAAGAGGTTTCTCCTGTGCTTTTGAATGCTGCTCAATCATTTCTTCCATACTGTAAGATTGCCTGTTCTTGATGTCAATTTTGGTTCCATATATCCAAAAACCAGATTTATTTGTATAAGATATTTGCCTGCTCACCTAACTGAAGCAATAAGCATGTCCAGTCATAAGAGTTAACATGTAATTTCAATTAATCAAAAAATAAGCAATAATTACAATTAGAGTACGAATTATTTAGAAGTTAGTTCCTGCTTTCTTTTATCCAATCAGATTTAGTTAAATATAAAACTTAAATCAATTCTTTGGTGTGCTTTAATTTCTATAATTTTCTGCCCTCTGGAATGTATATAAAGAAAATGGGTTACTTGGTCCAAATGGTAATTTATTTTATTCCATTGTATTTGTGGAGAAACTACCATTTTCTGTTCTTGAAATTTTTATCTTCATATTGGCTAGAAAAAAGATTTTTGATCTCATTCTTTAAAGCATAAAGTTGAAGCCATCTCATATACTTGTTATTAGAAGATTTTGTGTCATTAATTTGTTTGTATGTGTTACCTTATGTTACAGATTCATCTTTTCAGAATAGGCACCCTAAATTTTGGGACTTTATAAAGAAGGCTTGCTCTAAACTGATGAAGGTTTTAGTTGCAATTCAACAAAGGCATCCTTATTCATTTGGTGATAAATGTGTTCTTCAACCTGTCCTCAGTTTCTGTTTAAATAAGATTACGGATCCTGAGGCAGATATATTGTCCTTTGCACAATTCCTGATTAAATGTATGGTACTGGTAAAAAGTGTATTGGAATGTAAAGAATATAAACCAAGTTTCACTGGACGGGTTATGGATGAGAACGGTGCTACACTGGAGAAGATGAAGAAAAACAATTCTAATGCTGTTGCTTCTGTTTTGACTTCCCTTCTGCCTAATGAACGTGTCGTACTTCTATGCAACGTATTAATAAGGAGGTAATTACTCTTTCACCTCTTCCTGTCGTTATATCAGTTTGTATTGGTTTTTGCACAGTACAATGTTTCCTTTTCTATCCCCTTCTAAACCATGGGGAGGAATGAGAAAATGATTAGAAAACCATGGTCAAAATTAATATATATCAACTTTATGTTTTTTTTTTATAGGAATATGATGCCTCTTTAAAAACCTCCCTCTTAGTAAGCCCTTGCCCAAAGGCAAGAACCAACTAGCTTAAGGAGGAAAAGAGTACATGATTTTATTAAATATAAGACTTTTACATAAAACTTAAGAACTCTCCAGCCAAATACTACCGACATAAAACACTCCTGAAACACTATTACTCTAAAGCATACAAACCAACTAAATCCATGACTACAATCACCCAATTCCCTCCTTGGCTAAATTGTCAGCTTCACAATTACAACTCCTAGGAATCCACCTGACAATAGCGTGAATTAAAGAAACAGAAGCCACAATTTCCTTAACAAAATTAGACAGAAAAACAGGGGCAAAAACTTGATTAATGATCCAATCCACTGCTGTCTTTGAGTCGTATTCGATAATAAGCCTGCCCTTCAACACCCAATCTGAAGAAACAAAGATGTCAATGCCTTTTTTGATAGCTTTTAGTTCTGCTAGAATAGGGGTGGTAGGCCCGACACTTTCAGATAATGAAAGAAGAGTAACCCGATTCCAATCCCTGAGAATTCCTCCTATACCAGCCATCATCCCAACACTGCAAACAGCCCCATCCACATTCATCTTAAAATAGTCCACCGGAGGAGGAATCCAGCAGTACACAATGTTGTTCATAACCTTAGGAGCAGAAAAATTGTCAGCCAAAGAGGAAAACCATTTGGCTAACCTTAAACGAACAGTGAAAAACAGTAAAATTCTGTCTAGTTTTCCTTCTTCAAAAATTAACTCATTTCTCATTTTCCAAATTGACCAAAAAACAGCCCCTGGAATAAACTTCCAAATAGCAGAATTAGGCCTCAAAACAGCCCACGAACAGAGCAGACTTGGAGGGTCTTGTGGAATAGTTAACTGAATACCCCAATACCCTAAAAGCTTAGTCCACAAATCCCAAGAAACATGACAAGAAATAAATAAGTGCTGAACTGATTCATCCCCTTGATTACAAAAAGGGCATAGAGTGTTTTCCCCTAACTGAACCCCTCTTTTCAACAGTTCCACTCTCACTGTTACTTTTTGGTGAGATAATTGCCAGAGGAAAGTCTCCACTCTAGGGGGAACTAAACCCTGCCAAACACACTTATTCCATTGAAAAGAATCATCAAGAGAAGAAGAAAGAACTCTCCTACAAGCTTTAACTGAAAACAGACCCTTACCCGAACCATCCCACAACAAACAATCCTCCAAATGCTCCAAAAGATTAATGTTTTTCAGCCTATCCAGTAACTCTGCCAACTGCTCAATCTCCCAATCACAAAGACTCCTTCTAGTCTGAATATTCCATCCCCATCCATTCGAATCAAAGCTATCGAACTCCACCATAGTACCCAATTTATTTGTAGAAAGAGCAAATATCCTAGGGAAAAGCAGTTTCAAAGGCAACTCCCCAATCCATGAATCGCTCCAAAAGGAAATTGATTTGCCATTACCAATTTGAAGCTTAGCATGAGATCGAAGACAACCACCAATAGCATCATCCTTAATAAAATTATTCACAATTCCCCTCCATATCCAAGAGTCTTTTGGAGAAAGGACCATAGAAATATCCATGGAATGACAGTTCACATTGTGTTTGCTACATAAGAAATTCTTCCACATCGAATTTTTATCATTAGCAAATTTCCATACCCACTTTCCCAGCAACGCTCGGTTTGTTAGATTCAAATCAGCAACGCCCATGCCTCCTCCACTTAACGGCCTGCAGATAGTATCCCACCTCACCCAATGCATTCTCTTCTTTTCGGCCCCTCCTCCCCATAAAAAATTCGACATCAAGGAATTTAACCGATGACAGACAGTAGAGGGCAACTTAAAAATAGATAGGAAAAAAATAGGGAGAGATGATAAAACAAACTTGATTAGCACCAATCGGCCAGCCATAGATAACGAAACAGCTTTCCATCCTGCCAACTTCTTCGTGAAGCTGTCAATCACCGGATCCCACAACTTCTCTGAATTCTTTGACGCCCCCAACGAAAGTCCAAGATAAATCGATGGAAATGTACCTATAGAACATCCAATCTCCCTAGCCCATTCTTCAAGGATATCATTCTCCACATTAATACCAAAAAGTTTGCTCTTAGCTAAATTAATATGCAGCCCCGACATCAAGCTAAAAATCCTCAAAACTCTACTAACATTCTTAATCTGGGTAGTAGAAGCTTGGCAGAAAATAATTAAATCATCTGCAAACTGAAGATGGGACAACGAAAATGAGTAATGATTCTTGTCAAAAGAGAACCCTTGAAAGAGACCCGAATCCACTGCTTTAAACAACATCAAATGAAGAAGTTCCCCAAACACATTAAACAGCAAAGGAGAAAGGCTACACCCTTGCCTTAAACCTTTTGCAATGGGAAACTCTTCTGTAGGAGACCCGTTCACTAAAACCGATATTGAAGCAGTCGAAATACACTGGTTAATCCAAGAGCACCACCTCTCACCAAAAGCCATTTCTTTCATTAACCTTAGAAGAATTTCCATTCAACTGTATCATATGCTCTGCTGAAATCCACTTTAAAAACAACCCCATGAAGCCCATGTTTCCTCCAAAAATCGATATCTTCATTTGCTAAACAAACACAGTCCATCAATTGCCTACCCGGAATAAAAGCAAATTGTGTAGGGCTGATAATATCATTGACACAAGATATCAGTCTCTTTGAAAGGACTTTAGAGAGAATTTTATATAGGCTGCCCACAAGACTAATAGGTCTATAATCTTCAATACATTCTGGATTACATTTTTTAGGGATCAAGGTAATAAAGGCATGATTTAACTTTATGTTTGAATGTTTTAATATCTGTCCTAATTAATGTATTAATAGGTATTTTGTTCTGAACTCGAGTGATTTGGAGGAATGGTATGAGAACCCTGAGGCTTTTCATCTTGAGCAGGATATGGTTCAGTGGACAGAGAAACTGATGCCTTGTGCAGAGGCTTTATATATTGTGTTGTTTGAAAACCACAGTCAAGTATGTGGCAATTTCGTACATATCATTAAGTTTGTTATTTTGTTACTATCCTTTCTGTTAATTTTTGGTTGGCAGTTGTTTAATGCAGATACGTGCATGCTTATTCTAATTGACTTGTTATATTTAGCTGCTTGCTCCTATTGTGGTGTCTATATTACAAGAGGCAATGAATGGTTGCCCAACTTCGGTGACTGAAATTACTCCTGGGTTACTCCTCAAAGATGCTGCCTACAGTGCTGCTGCATATGTATATTATGAGCTCTCAAATTACCTTAGCTTCAAAGATTGGTATGCACATTCTCCAGTATACTATATTTGTTGTGTAGTCACTTGATAATTTTGCTGTCATTATACATGCTCTACTCTTGGTGGTTTGGGGTGGTTTTTTGTCTTTTTTTTATAGGAATGGTAGGCCTCGTTAAAAACCCCCTTCTTGATTAATGGATCATAAAGTGCTCCTTAATCAGCAGAAGGAGAAAAAGAGTGCCTTATAATTCATTAAAACACATAAATTACATAGTACTTAGGGAACAATCATATAGACTCCCTATACACACCAACCCATTGCATAAAAAATAACAGACCCAAACATAACCAAAAGACTTCAAAGCTAGCCAATACCAGCCTTTGCTATAGAATCAGCCTCAACATTAGCTGACCTAGCAACCCACCTAATAATGCCTCCCAAACCTCTTAACTTAGTAATTATTTCGTTCACAATGTCTACATATACATTGGGACATCTATCATAGTTCTTGATCCAGTCCACCGCAATTTTACTATCGGATTCAACAATCAAGCGATCCTCAAACCGCCGCTGGAATGAAGCAAAGAAAATCAAGCCCTTCTTAATTGCCATTAGCTCTATCAAAATGGGAGGACCCGGACCAAATGCCTCTTGAAAAGAACCCACCACCGAACCATTCTCCACTCTTAGAATTCCCCCAACTCCACTTTTCCTCCAATCTGCAGTAACAGCTGCATCCACATTCAATTTTATATAGCCCTTTGGAGGCCGAGTCCAGGCCTTAATTTTAATGATTGAAGATCTAGAAATAGCGCAACAATCCCCAAGCGAAGGATCACAAATAAAACAGTCCTTTAGAATAGACGTCTCCTTATAGACAGCTAAGAACCATGCAGCCAGCCTACATCTTGCCAAAAAGAACAGATCAATCTGATCTAAACTCCCCTTATCAAACACAATCGCATTTCTACATTTCCAGATTGTCCAAAACACCACTCCCGGAATGAAAGTCCAAATTATAGAATTAGGCACCAAATCTCCCCAAGCTAACAAAAAACTTTTAGCATCAGCTTGTAAAGCTGAACAAACACCCTAAAATCCCAAAAAATTATTCCAAATAGACCACGCGACTGAGCAAGTAAAAAATAAATGAGAAGAGGATTCATCCGCCTTCTTACATAATGGACAAGCAACATCAACAATTGCTGAAACTCCTCTCTTCTGTAATTCAAGTTTAACTGGCAACCTTTGATACACCACCTGCCACATGAAAATCTCCACTCTAGGGGGCACCAAACCCCTCCAAATGTGCTTCATCCAAAAAGAATCTGCTGTCAAAACAGGACAACAAGACTTCAAACACGAATTAACAGAAAAAATTCCTTCCCCATTCCCTCTCCATACCATACCATCTGACATCTCATTATAAGTGTGAAATTATGGATTACAGCCATTAACTCAACAAACTGATCCAATTCCCATTCACTTAAATTCCTTCTCAATTGAATATGCCAAACCCAAACTGAAGACCGAAACTCCCCAAACTCATTAAGCTTCCCATTTTTGTTCATCGAAAGAGCAAACAATCTTTGGAAAACCACTTTAAGAGGGGAATCAAGCGCCCAACTATCAAACCAAAATCTGATACTCCCACCATTCCCCACCCTAACATTAAACAAACATCGAAACTTAGTTCCAAATTGATCCTCATTGAAATGGTTACTGACCATCGATTTCCAGATCCAAGAAGCATTAGCAGGAAGTTTTTCATTGAACGACAAAAAACTAGAGAAATAGGTATGAAATCATCCAAACCCCCAATGAACTACAAAAACCATCGATTTCCAGATCCAGAACACCAAGACCACCCACCCGTTTATCAGAGCAAACTGTTGACCAATTAACTCAATGAATTTTTTTTTTGACCTCAACCCCTCCTCCCCACAAAAATCTAGCCATGATAGCATTGAGTTTATCATATACCGAAATAGGAATCTTGAACAAGGACATATAGTAGGTTGGTAAAGAACACAAAACTGCCTTCAATAAAACCAATCTGCCTGCCATAGACAGTGTCTTAGCCTTCCAGCCTGTTAATTTGTTGTAAAACTTCTGCACTATCGAATCCCACATCTGCTGAGAATTTCGCTTAGCACCAAGAGGAAGCCCCAAATATTCCGACGGGAAATGACCTACTAAACAACCTATAGCATTAGCCCATTGAGTAACCACTTCCTCAGTAATGTTAATCCCAAATAATTTACTCTTAGTAAGATTCAATTTAAGGCCTGACATAACTTCAAAAACTCGAAGAACCCTCTTAACATTTAGAATCTGAGTCTTCGATGCATTGCAGAAGATGATGAGATCATCTGCAAATTGCAGATGAGACAAATTAACAACATTCTCGTCTTTGCCAACTGTCAAGTCACAAAACAGGCCTGATTGGACTGCTTGGATAATCAGAAGATTAAGCAATTCGCCAACAAGATTGAACAACAATGGGGAGAGGGAACAACCCTGTCTAAGACCTCTAGACAACGAAAATTCATCCGTAGGAACACCATTAACCAGCACTGACATCGAAACTGTAGTGACACAAATCTGAATCCAACTACACCATTTTGATCCGAAACCCATTTTATCCAAAACTTTAAAGAGAATGTCCCAATCTACCGTATCATAAGCCTTCTTAAAATCCACCTTAAAGACACAAGCCTACCTTTATTCCTCCATAGGTCGATACCTTCATTAGCAATAAAAGAACAATCCAAAATTTGTCGACCCGGAATAAAAGCAAATTGTGAGTCACTGATAATATCCTTGATGCAACCTCTCAATCTTCTCGACAGACACTTGGAAAGAATCTTGTACATCCCTCCTACGAGAGAAATAGGTATGAAATCATCCAAACCCCCAATATTAGAACCCTTCGGGATTAAGGTAATGAAAGAATGATTAATGCCATTCTCCCACTCCTTTCCCAAAAAGAAATTATGGAAAAACTTCAGAATATCCCTTTTCAAGTAAGGCCAGAATTTTTTGAAAAAACCCATGTTCAACCCATCTGGCCCAGGAGTTTTGTTACTATCACACGAGTTAATGGTATCCCAAATCTCTTCTTCCGTAAACTCCTTCTCTAACAACAGATTCTGCTCCAAAGAAATTCTTGAAAAGTTCAAATTAATATCCTCCACTTCCAAGGTAGAACGATGATTAAAGGCTTTAAAAAAATGTTCTCTGACAGTAGACTTTATAATAACCGTATCTTTGATAATTTTACCATCAACGTGAATTGCATTCATAGAATTCATCCTCCTAATGGAAGCGCTTGTGTGAAAAAATTTAGAATTTCGGTCTCCATCTTTCACCCACTTTTCTCTTGAATTTTGAAACCAAATTTGCTCCTCAACTCTGTAAAGTCTCTGTTGAAAACATTTTGATATTTCGATATAACAAATTAAGTTAAATGAATTTTAAGATTTTTCAAATGATTTTCTAAGTATATTAGATAGAATTATTCGAATATCAAAACATTACTCCAAATCTTTCAAAGATCATTTTTAATCCTTACTCAAGTGTAAAATTATGTTTTAATCTTAAAACAATTTCAAAATAATTTTACAAAATATTTCGAACTATTTCAAAGTCAAAAATTCCAGATTGCTCAGAAGGAACCGATTCCCCCCAAAGGGGGTACCGATTCCCCTCTGAATGGTTTGGCTCCGAGAAATCCAGAATGCTCGGAGGGAACCGATTCCCCCCCAGGGGTACCGATTCCCCCTTGTATAACGGTCGAAATATTTGAATTTTGCACTTAGGGAACCGATACCCCATAGGGGGTACCGATTTCCCCCACGCTCCAAACTGTTTTATTAATTGTTTTCACACTAAAACGACTATATTATTTTCTCCAATCATCCCCAACGTTCAGAAGTGATTCAAAGTGTATTTAAGCAAGCTTAGAAGCCATTGATCAATAACAAGAAACATCAAGCAATTAGAATCAAGAGATAATCAAAGAGAAAGCGTCAAACCTCAAGCTTGAGCATTTCAAACCTATTTTTCATTCAATATTCATTTAGTTTTCAAGAACACTTATTGTGCTCAATTGTATTTATTCTTGAGTGTTCTTTCTTTGTTCTAGAATTGTGCAAACACATTTGCCTTGTGAGGTTTTTTCTTGTAAGTTTGCAAATTTGTATTTCTCTTTGAGAAAAGAGTGTTCTCAAGAATTGGGGTATATTCTTGAGGGAGTTGTAAGGTTATCTCTTTGGCCTCAAAAGAAAGAACAAATTAGTGAATTTGTTGAAAAATCCTTAGTGTTGATAGCTAAGGTAGTGGACGTAGACTTTGGTTGATAAAGTCGAATCACTCTAAATCGCTGAGCAATTTCTTTCAATTTTCTACAAAAGCTTCTACCAAAATTTTTTATTGCCAATTCACCCCCTCTTGGCCGATTCGGTCAATCGATTAACTCAACAATTGGCATCAGAGCCTAACTCATTTGAAGGTTTAATCGTCTCTTGAGTCGATTCGGGAAGAGTTATATCGATAATCAAAGTCATCAATGGCCTCCGCTTCAAACTTCAACTCCGGTCTCGATTCGATGCCCGTCAACAAGCCTCCATTTTTCAATGGAGCTAACTATGCCTATTGGAAGAATAGACTGATGTACTTCATTCAAGCAAGTGACATGGGAGCATGAAATGCCGTAGAAGAAGGATACATCAAACCTCTCACTCATCCAAGGTTGTGGAGTGAAGGAGAGACAAGAATGTTCCAGCTCAACTCCAAAGCCATCCATATCATTTTTTGTGCTCTTGGACCAGATGAATACGGAAGAGTTTCATCGTGTACAACCGCCAAAGAAATATGGGACAAACTTCAAGTCACTCATGAAGGTACCGATGAGGTAAAGAAATATAAAATTAGTATTCTAACGCATAGCTATGAAAATTTCAGAATGAAACCAAATGAAGACATCAAAGCTATGACGAATAGATTTTCAACGATTGTCAATGGTCTCAAATCATATAGA